CGAAGAGTCCCTTTCATGCCTCCCAGCAAGAATTCTCGGACGGAGCCCACAGCAGACAAGGCATGAACGCCTCATCGTGGATGCTATGGAGCAGGCGGACGGTCTAGAACAGATGATTGTGGTGTGTGCAGGCTTGGACTCGGCCATCCGGAACTCAACAGAGAATTTGCAAACTCGGTCGCAGCTCTACAGAGGCATCACTCGAGCGCAGCTTCTCGCCGTGGTGGTGACCTAGGTGGCACTTTGGGAGAGTTTTTCATTTGCCTACCAATTCTATCCTAAAGGGTTGGCTATTCAGAACCAGTTTGGGGGGGAAATCTAAGTGACACTACCAATATATAGGTAAACGAGCACATCCCGAGCGGATGGCTGGAGTTCCTCGGTGGGGTGAAGTACCAGGATGACGAGCTGTCGGGTCGTGAGGCCGACTCCCACCGGGTCGCGGAAGCCGCAAAGACGATGCACGAAGCCGCCCTGGCGGCAGTGAATCTCAGCCGACAAGACAATGCACATCAGAAGGACAGCCGTCCCGACGCAGCCCGCGTCGCAGCCCAGGATGCCTTTGAAACGTTTCCGGAAGTCAGCAGCCAGCCCCCCGTGGAAGCCTCCAGGCCCAAGCCCAAAGCCGCAGCAGTGAAGACGTCGAGCGTCTGGGACACCGACAGCAACAGCATTCCAGCGCCCACCGAGCTCCTCTTCGACCCTCTGCCCGAGGCGGGCGGCGCGCCGTATAACCGTGCATATGTAGGAGCGGAGACCCTTTTTCCGTTCTTCCCGCTTCGAACATGTTCACAGGTAATTACTGTATGAAGCATAAGCCAGGCTTGCGCAAGACGGCATGCGCACATCAGCAGGAGTGCGCAAGGCGTACCAGACAGTGTACATGAAAACAGCACGTCGATACAAATCTCTACTGATCTTTTTCCTTTTAACACTTCCCCTGCACGACGGAGAGGCAGCATCGGCCGACAAATCAAAACTGAGGCCAAGAATTGAAAAACGAGGGAGCCCACATAGATCAAGTTACTTGCAAGTTTGGATTTCGTCCCAAGTAGCGGATTCAAGGCCCCACGGATACCTTCTGAGCAACTTGGATCCTCCTCCAGACATTGCGTCCCGAGCATGTGCAAGCACCCTGGTGAGAGAATTCGCAAATGGACATGGCTGTTTTTTGTTGCTTGGAGCAGATACTCTAGCAAACGCGACCCGCTGCGTGAGCCCCATGTGAACCTGAAGCTTCCACGAAGCTTCCCTCAACCCCAAAACAACCGTACGCCCCTTGAAACAGAGCACGAAAAGCAGCCGGAGGCCGCCCGGAAGGAAGTGTATGCTACCTTCGACAAGGAGTCGCTTGGTGAAAGATCCCCCCTTTCACAGGTGGATCGTAGACTCCTGTCCCCGTAGTTGCGCTAGAACGGTGTGACAGCGTCAATAGCATGGGAGAGAATGCTAGCATAGATTTTCTGCAACCCCTGCCCTATGCAGCGACCATTTTGCAGATCTCTTGAAGTGTGGCAGTGTGCTTTCATTAAAGACTCCAGGCAGACGACAAGGCTGCTTTGTTCCCATGCTTACTTCAGAGACTCCATGACTGCAGCAGCTCGGTACACTCGCAACAAGAGCAGCCAGAGGATCCCAGCTCGACTTCGGGTCTGAAGTGCTGGATGCTCCGTCGCCTCGACCCTGCGGTCTCCGAGGCACGGCGGGCGACGCGACTGGGAATTCGACGGCGACGAAGCGGAATCAGGCCACTGGGCATGGTAAGCGGCCGTAGCCGTAGCCGTCGGGGCTTCGGGCTGGGCCTGAAGGAGGTAGAGGCAAAGGTTCGTCGATGCAGGTTGAGGTCGGACCTTGGCGAGGGATTCTGCTTCTGGTAGGTCAGCTCCGGCCTCCTTGGGGTGGAGCGGGAGTCCGGGGAGTTTCAAATGTGGCCTTCGTTGTACCATGCTGCATACGTCATGCGCCGTGATGCACATGACAGAAATGCCACATCGATCCGAAGAGGTACATACAGTAGTCATGAAACTATAAAAAAACCAATCACCAGGAAGCGAGGGACCTCTCAGTGTAGTGCAATCATGCAGTTCCAGCCGTGCGGCCTGGCGGTTGATTCCGTGCCAGCATGCTTTCAGAAGCCAACGTCTCACAGACCAGGCCTTGGCTCCAAGGCCAAGCTGTCGCTCGACTGCAGGGCAGCTAGAGAGCCCCACGGGCTCGGGCGCTTGAAGGCTTCGGGTGCTGCGAGTTTGGGCTGGCACAACACCC